AATGAGGCTCAGCTGAGCTTGGGAAGCTTAAGCAAGGCTGTGTACAGAAAGAAAAATCCCCACGCAGGGCTGGCTGGGGCTCTTCACCTATTTTTCGTGCTGTTTGGGGGAAATTGAGTTAATCAAGGGTGCTCCTTTGATGTTTTGCACACCGTTGTCGTGATCACAGCAGTGAACAATTTTTCACCACTCTAAATCCAGACTGTGTGCAATTGTTCTTTGCTTTCCACTTCTTCCAGGTGATTACAAAAATGGAAATATTGCTACTTTAGAAAGTAACAATTTAAAAAAAAAAAAAGTCCAAGTCCAATTTTAGTCTCAAATTTCATTCTCACTTTATAAAATTGCAGAATTTTGCAGTGCTACAGATTTTGTGTTTGGTCACAACATTTTTGATTTATTGCTACCTTGGGGTGCGGGAAGGAGGAAGAAGAACAATTTTTTTAGTTTTGAGGCAGCTCTGCTTTCCCTGAGGGCCTGGCCCTGGTATTCCGATCGTTCCCAAGCTTTACTCTCATATTTAAATTTCTGAAATAAATCACCACCTTAATACAGTTCCCTTTCATTTTTAAGGGCAATTAGTAATGAAATTAAATACGATCGCTTGAAGTATGACATGGTGTGCATTCAGCTTTATTAATATAGCCACGATCTTCGGAGCCAAACATTTGGCCAAGGAATGGAAATGTCTCATTAGGGTACCTATTTACATATGTGTTTTCAGCTCACGGACGAGAGCGTTCCAGTGGCAAGCAGCAGCCTCGCTGGTCCTGCTCAGGGACACCTGCTTAAACTGCAACAATGCGCTGGCTCCAGCTAAGCAGAATTACCTTCTTTTGCTTCCGCAAGTGGGAGCGGTGAAGCTAATGGGGCTGCACATGGGCAAAAGGGGGAGCAGCATCTGGCCTGAGGAATGCCGCACGTGCCAAGCACTTTGAAATGTTTAGAGGCATGGAAAATAAAAGCAAGGAAAGCTGAATGTGTCTAGCATCTGAACCCTACTCTGTGGCGGTGCTGGCTCTGCTTGGATGCCATGTCTGGCCAGGGAGGTGGTGTCTTTTGCTTGTGGGCAAATGACCCCTGGCCCTATGGGCAGTACCAGGGCTGCTTCTGGGGCTACAGAAATACGAGGCAGCACAAAAGCAAATGACTATTTTGTCAGAAGACAGTATGTGCGCACACACACAGGCATCTACCTTCTTAAAAAGATAGAAAAGAGCAGCAGTAACAGGAAAAAAAAAGCCCCACACCTCCATGAGTTGGCTGTGCTAAGGTTTGTGCAGTGCAGGACCAATGTGGGATCAGCACTAGGAACACTCCCTCTCATTTGCCCACCCCAGGTGGATTTACTCTGAGAGCCAGCCCTCTTCTCAGCCCACCGCACCATTACACAGCTTTGGCTTTTTATGTGTGTGTTCAATGGTGGATGCCCCATCCCTGGAGACACTCAAGGTCAGGCTGGCCGGGGCTCTGAGCTACCTGATCAAGCTGTAGGCGTCCCTATTTGTTCCAGGGGAGTTGGACTAGATGGCCTCTTAGGGTCCCTTCCAACTCAAATGATTTGATGATTCCAGACTGGCATTTAGTCTAAGCAGAGCCTGTACTGCTCTCCCCTTATGAACACTGGGTGCGTGGCATCAAATGCCAGGATCCTCCACAGGAGCAGCACTCTGCAGTGAGTGAGTGCATGCCACAGTGCAGGGGGAATAAAGGAAAAACTGCCAGCAAATTTCACCAGAGGAAACTGGTCAGCAGAAACTGGGCCAAGTTCACAAACCTGTGGGATAATCCATCTCTAAGACTGGGGAAAACAAAACAAAACAAAAACAAAAAAAACAAAAACAAAAAACAAAACCAAAAACAAAACAAAACAAAACAAAAAAACCAACCCAGAACCCAAAAGTGATTAAAAGAAGGATTTTGGTAATTTGCTAGGGGGGGGCAAGCTAACAAACTAATTTAAGCTAATGTGATGTTTATAAAGTGACTTAGATAATGATACCATGTATACCATTATAATCATTAAAACCCAATCTATGTTTAAAAAAAAAAAAAAACTTAGATGATTAACACAAAATCAAGTTGATGTGAAGGAACAATTACTTTTAGAAAAAAAATCAGGAGGTCCTAATATTCTGTAGAATGAGGGAGGATGCAGCTGTATGTCGACAGCTTTCATATCCTCATTTGAATAATGTGGCCTGAATCTGTCACTTTATTCATCCTCCTTATGCTCAGTGTACTCTGCATCAACAACAAATTAAGTTGTAAATAAGAGACAATCATCACTTTTGTTTTTAAGCAGCTTCTGCATGGAGAATTTCAATGTACTGTTTCTTTTTGATGGAAAGAAAGGGATTCTGCACTGTGCTTATGTAAGCACAAATATGAGGAAACCAACCGAAATGAAACAATAAGGGAACACTTGAGAACTGCTCCAAAATGTTCTTGGAAGCACATTTTTACCACCACAAATCTCTTTTTAGATAGGATAAGCATAAAAGAAATTGTTTAGTTTACCGTAACAATAATTCTTACTTTGCTCTCAAGTGCTAATGACTCTTTTTTAATTATTATTATTTTTAATTTCCAATCCTCCAATCTCCCCTTTCCACAACCAGGTACAGGCAGGGCATAACCTCAGGGGAAGGAAGAAGTCAGCTATGGCTTTGTGCACGCAGAAGCAGCACTGACCTATGAGAAAAACCAAACTTCTTTATGACCCAACACAGCATGCAGTAAGAATGCGGAGGGGAAGAAATTTTCTTACCTTTACATCTGAGAAGTAGGTTTTCAGCATATTGGAACTTGGGTACCGGGTGTAAAAGAACATGAGCTTGGCCTTTTTCAAGTGGTTTGGCGACAAGCCTTCCTGCATGTAGGATTGGACTGGTAAAGGAAAATGCTTGGCTTGAAAAGGCTGCTTTCTGAGCGTGCCCCATGCACACACTGCACCCCCAGCCTGTGGGAGACTGAAATGGCCATGCTGTGATTTTCTGTAAATGGCAAAATGAGGGATGAGGAGACACACAACCCAAACCTTCTATTTCCTATCAGTTTCAGGAATTCTGCAAGTTTACAGCTTGTGTACCATATGTATGTTCACTTGTTGCTAAGGAAACATGTGCTGCACAGAACTTATCAGGAGTTTTTTCTCCCTCTCCTCTGCAAGTCCAGCCCAAGTTTCGTTTCCCCTCAGCACAGCACTGTGTGCACCGAGTGAACTGAGTGCATGTGCTACGCACAGGGTGCTCCAGCCCTTGGAGCAATGCCTCCCGCAGGCAGCACATTTCACCTGCTTCGCTCCCATCCCAGCATCCTGAGCTGCTCCCTCTAATCCCGTTACAGCGCTGCCTCGATAATCAAAGCCAAATTTTCTGAGAGGCAGAAGCCCCTCCGACCTATGTTGTTGCCTTCTGGTTGAGCCGGTTAACTCCTCCTTGGATGAAGCCGCATTTGGGGCTCCACGATCAATGGACGCGGGCTAGCGGATCAATAAATGGCCACTTACCCTATAACGCAGCCTATTTATCCTGGAAACATCATTACCTTTTAGATCTGTAAACAGAAGCAACGAAAACAGTTCCCAAGGGAATGCGAAGCTAACCATAACCATCTCGGCTTGCTGATTTTCTCCCAGCTCCTTGGCTCTCTTTTGTGCGCTGTGTGCGAGGACGGCTCTGGTCACATCTGTGCCGCAGGCTGGCCCTGCCATTTCCTCAGCAAATTAATGGCTTTATAATTTATCAGAAATGAAGATGCACGTGGAGAAAATGAGTGTGGCCCCCACAAGGTCAATTAAGGGTTCTTCCCAGAAGCTTCTCTGAGATCTGTTTCTCCAGATACAACTGCTGAAAACCTCACTCGTTTCACACCTGACGGAGGGGGAAGATCGGCCACATCCGCATGCACACTACAGCCTCTCTGCCCTTGCTTTGGGGCTGGGAGCATGTTGGCACCAATCACCTCCTGCTTCGGGAACTTGGACACAGCATTATGGCAGGCTACTGCCTATTACCAGCCTCTTTCAATAAAAAAAAACCCTTTTCTCTAATTTCTGAAATCAGCGGAGCCCTTCTCCTTTATTCCAGATATAAAATAAGATTCATTTTCAGACTGAAAAAAATGTGGCATTAAAAAAAAAAAAAAAAAAAAAGTCATCAATAACATTAGTTTAAAAACCTCTTATTATCTGGAAGTAGAAGGAGAATGGCTGAGCCGAACTTGCATTTTGTTTTAGATGCTTGCTGATTACAAAGAAGATAATTTATGACTGACATACTTCTTGTGCCAAGAGAAGAGTTGAAAGAACCTCCAGTTACCTCCATTAGACTGATAGAGAAGTCTAAAAGAGCATTACACTCTGCAGTGCCATCTGTCAAAATACGTAAGTGAAATAATAGTAGCAAGCTGTCACCTATTGCTTAGAGATAAGAGTTTTAGACAAATCAAAACTTCTGCACCAGAAATCCACTTTGTTATGCGATCGTTTCAGGGGAGAGGGAGTCTGAGGGGGAACTTCAAAAAGTAAAAGAAATAAAAACCCTAAGCCTCCTTAATTTGTGATTCTTCGGTCGCCATCGACATGCTAATATCGGGTACGGCACACATTTTCTTTCAGTGCGAGCTAAAGGATGGACTTAAACTTTCAGGGCAAAAAAGCTCTCCTATTTGCTGGATTTAAGCATATTAGGCAGTTGTCTAAGCATTTTGATTCCTTCTGCATTTAGGATTTTTAAATATTTTCTGCCCTAATGCCAGCGGATATTGATATTGAATGAAACACGTATTAAAAGATGTTCTAAGACTCAAATTCCCAGAAATCCATTTTCTATTAAAATTATACTTGTTCCTAAGCACTTGGCAGCCTTAAAGCTGTATCGAATATGCGACCAATCTGTGTATCTTGATCCTAAGGTTAACGCTGCACTGTGATAAAAGATCTGATCTGTAATAATCTAGCAAAAAATAGTTAATGACAGACTTAAGAGCAAAGAATTAGATAAGCCATTGCTATTTCAGAAAAAAAGAACTGAACTGACCAATTGCTTAATTTCCTTTTTAAGTGCTTGGGCTGAAAAGCAACTGTTCTTCCAAGAAAGCACTAGCTGTTTCCAGGATACTTACACACGCACAATGACTCATGATGAAATAGATTCAGTAAACATACAGCTGTACTGAACACGAGCTAAGCCCCATTCAAGGCCAGGAAAGAAAACGAGCACAAATAAATATTAAGGAGGTAAAGGGAGGAGGGGTGCCGAATGGAACGCAAACAAGCTCCGTCCCAGCAGCTCGTGTGGCTTGCCTCAATTCTCCCAGCTATAGCTTTGTGAAGACAGATGACATTCAATTCTATGGGTAATGCAAAATAGACAATAACTGCTGAAACTTGAGCCAGCTGCCAGGTGTAAAAAAAAAAAAAAAAAAAAAAAAAAGAGGAAGGAAAAAAAAGGAGGAGAGAAAGAAAAGTTGATAAATCCATAAATTAATGAAAGACATCTGCTCAGGAACATAAAAGATCAGAGGAACAGTGTACTGCAGCTGAACCTAAAGCAGTGTTCAAACAACCTGAGAGCTCAGCGCTGTGCTTACCCAGTGTGACGCCACCTCACCTCACCCAGCAGCAGCAAAAAGGCAAAACATTAAGAAATAGGAAGAGAAAAACTGAGAATGAAACCTAGATGCACTCCTGCATGTGTTATCCAGGGAAGCTGAGAGATAGCGTTTGACTCATTTGCACACTAATTCTCCCGGAGAGCTCTCTCCTCTTTTGCAAAAAATATTTTTCAGTGGGGATTTCTTTCACTTCTATTCCCCTCATTCACAGCTCCCAGAAAAATGAATAACTCCAGCAGGCTGTTCTAGTGCTGAGCTGAAGGGAAAGAGTCAAGAAGGGGCTGTATCAGGTAGGCAACCTGTGCTGGCAAGGCTAAGCTGCACTTTCAGTTACACCTCAGCTGCTTTTAATCAGCAAAGCTCCAAATTGCTGTATCTCAGAGCATCTTTGAGACCTTCCAAAGGATGGGCCAGCTGAAAGTGCTCTCCTATTGCCCAGGTTTTACCCGCAGCACCAAGCTAACCAGCTTGCTGTACAATCACTTCTTCCTTTTTTTTTTTTTTTTTTTTTTAAGTTTAATTAGTTTAATTCTAGTCAGATGTAATAACTCCTCATTTTGAAATGTTGTAATTCGTTAATTATAGCTTTCACATATTGGGACTGCGAAACTCATTCCAGTTGGATGGGAATTCTGCTTAAAAATAAATAAATTGCAGAAAGTTTCACTCATGTCTCAGACCCTTCCGCCAGGGAGAGAGCACCCAACTCCTTCACCTTTCCCAATGTCTCAGCAGCACACAGGCTGCTGTTGTGCTGCAGTTTTGGTCTATGCAAATGTTTGGGGACTGAACAAGGCTATTTTTCTTGAGATGCAAAGAGGATGCATGACAAAGGAAGAGCATGCAGAAAAACAATTGGCTGTCTGTTTCTTTCGGAATTTGAATAAAACTTAATATTTGATTAAACAGATTAGTTTGCAAAGATATAGACTGCATTCAGAACCAAGATGGGAATTCATGCTGCAGGTGCATCTTATCTTGTTCAGCAACATACGCAAACATTAACCATTTCCTTCTGCAATTCAGCAAAGAATGATCAGATGCGTTTTACAGGCATTGGTTAAAAGAAACAAACAGAAAGCGGGCTGGTGCGGCGCATTAGCCTACCACTAAAACCTGAACTTGGCTCTATCCGCCCGTCTTATGTTCTCATCCTGCCTGTATTGTCCAGGAAAACAGATGTTGCTTTCTGCAGGGAAGAAAGATCTGCTTCTCCGAAGAAATCTACTCCTTGTGTGTGCACACTCAACCATGTAAAATAAAAGCACCGCAACAGAACCTACCACAAACAAACCAACCTCCGTACCGCGCCTTTCCCTGGAAACTGCAGGCTACCTGGGCAAACGAGCCGCTGCTGGAGAACAACAACAATGTCCCTGAGCTGAACTGTGCGCCAGAGCACACATCGTGTACAAATGCTCTTTAGTAAATCTGCTTTTCCTAGCAGCTCTGCATGCAAACCCCAGCCAGACAGAACGCTTCCCCAAGGGCCGGGAAAGGAGCAGGGCAAGGATGGAAGTGGAGCGGCCCCAATGCTCGCTGCCCTGGCTGAGCCCCATGCACGGCACTCTCACCCTGCTTCCAGCAGGAGCTCTGCTATGGACTGCCAGTGAGGACAGCAGGAGGAAGGGGGAGAAATAGCAAGAGGGAGGCAGGGATGTGCTGGGCAGAGAAGACCGCTTGCAGCCACATGCATTTCATACCCCTTAGGTTCCTGTCCTAAGATGGGAGAACTACTTTAACATCACCACAATCAGCACCTACCTCACTCTGTGGTAGGAGTGACTTAATTGCTCTGGCCTGATTGTTGCCCTCGGGTGCCATTCGGCTGTCACTCATGCTGACCTCAGGACTGCTTTGAGAGCATCGCAGCTCACTTCT